TTTTTGTGACGGAGTCTCGCTCTGTCACCCAGGCTGGAGTGCAATGGCACGATCTCAGCTCATTGCAACCTCTGCTTCCTAGGCTCAAGTAATTCTCCTGCCTCAGCCTCCAGAGTAGCTGGGATTACATACGGGTCATCCGCCACCACGCTCAGCTATTTTTATTTTCAGTACAGACAGCATTTCACTATGTTGGCCAGCCTGGTCCCGAACCCTTGACCTCAGGTGATCTGCCTGCCTCGGCCTCCCAAAGGGCTGGGATTACAGGTGTGAGCCCCCGTGCCTGGGTTAAAACGGCCTGTTTGTTACACAGACAGTGCAGAAGTTCCTTAACTGCCACACAAGCACTAGTTACTCCTGGCAGGGCCTGGTTTTGTGGAGTTTTGATGAAGATATTTTCCTAGCATTAGAAACAAGTGCGGAAGATTTGCACCCTCCTCATGCCTGGGACTGTTCACGTTGCCTGGTTTCATCTGTTCCCAAAAGGAGCAGGAGATCTCCGGCCCTTGCCTGGCTGCTGTCAATGCCGGGGGCCGGGCTGGGACACAGACCCTTGACCGCGTATGTCTGTCTGCCTTGAGAAGGGTCCTTACCTACTCTGTCTCTAGTTTTCTCTGATCTGTTTTGGATGCTTATATTTGCCTGAAAGCATCTCTTTTGCATTGTAAAAAATAAATTCTAGAGTCAAATAGCATAATCCCTTATGATTCTCGTAATCAATTTTCTCTTAATCTGTGGTCATTGATAGTTGCTAGAATTTTTTTTCCCAGGTGTTTCTGACAGGTGAGCTAAATCCCACCAAGCCCACCCCTTCCCTACTTTGGGGCACAGGTGCATGAATTTGACAAGTTTCTCTGATTTTGTCATTTTTGCTTGTATCTTCCTTAATTCTATTTTCTTACTTTCCTGATTCTAACGCTTTTTTTTTTTTTTCTAACAAGAGCTCATTACAGATTCATTGATTTTAATTTTGTCTTGCTAACCCATTTCACTATTAAAGACTATGAGTTTTCCTCTGGGCTCATCGATTCTGATGGAAGTTGTATTTTTCTAGACATTTCATAAATTTTGTGAAAGTGGACCCTTTTATTTTGTAGATAAGAAAGTTGAGGTCTTTCTCCATCAGAAGCTGCCCCCGGGTTTGTAGTAGCTCTGGCTCTGCCAGGCGGTGGCCTGGGCCCGTCCCCACCCCGGACCCTCATCCCTGAATCCCACACCCAGCGGTGACTGTGCGTCCAGACAGAACATGCTGCATGGATTTATTAATAATCTCTGCCAGAGACTGCCCCCAGGGAGCAGCCCCCCGACGCCTGCGGTGCAGGCGTGCAGCAGGAAGGGGATGGGGACACGGATGACCACGCCATTGTCTTCTGAGGTGTGGACATTCTTTGAAAGGGCAGGAGGAATTCCCACTGCTCTGGAGGTGTGGAAGCGTGGGGGTCTGGTCTTCCTGGAGGCGGAGGCGAGCTGTTGGGTTACTTAAGTAGAGGGAGGAAGAGCAGGGTGTTGTGGGGGAGCCCTGGAAGGACGTGGGTGGGCTTGAGGACACCCCCTTAAGAATGCTGCACTGAAATCCCAGCACTTTGGGAGGCTGAGGGGGGCGGATCACGAGGTCAAGAGATTGAGACCATCCTGGCCAACATGGTGAAACCTCATCTCTATTAACAATACAAAAATTAGCTGGGCGTGGTGGTACACGCCTGTGGTCCCAGCAACCCGGGGGTTGAGGCAGGAGAATCGCTTGAACCCGGCAGGTGGAGGTTGCAGTGAGCTGAGATTGTGCCACTGCCCTCCAGCCTGGTGACAGAGCGAGACTCCATCTAAAAAAAGAAAGAATGTGGGACTGAGATCTACAGGTCCCCAGCTTCTCATGCCCTTCCACATAACCATCCTCCCTCCTCCTCCTTCAGCTCCCATCGTTTCCAACCAACCCCAAAAGAAAGCATGAGGTCCAACTGTAGGGCACGAGCCCGTGACTTATACAATGGCTGCAACACACACGTTGGGCTGGTGGACGGGGAAGTCAGCAGCCTGGCTTTCCGGAATCGCAAGACCAGACCAAAGCTCATTCCTTCAAGGTCAGGCCTGAACTGGACACAGTGGGGTCTGTCCCAGGGGCCCAGAGAGGCAGCCGCAGACATGGGCGAGGTTGACACATTACCCAGGAGGCAGGACCAGGCAGGAGCTCACCTAGAAATGGCACGGCTCTGTGGGAGGAGAGCGGAGAGTGGAGGCGTCAGCGAGAGGAGACAGCTGGGGACACAGCAGTCCCAGGGCTAGAGAGGGGAGTGAAAAGATGGTGGGAGGGGGTGGGACCCCACCTCAGCGTGGCTCTGCACCCCAGGAGGCTGGGGGAGAACTAGGGAAGGGCCAACAAGGAGTGACCTGAGTACTACAGAGCCAGCAGGGGGCTCGGGCTGAGAAAGAGGCAGCTTCTCCTCCAGCCGAGGCTGGGCGTGTCCTGGGCGGAGCTCACCTTCCATCTTTCTCAAGTCCAGCAAGTACCACAGACGCTTGTGCAGGGGCCTGAAAGCTCTGATGAATCCCTTCATGATCTCGTTGTCCTCCACCAGGACTCTGGCTGTGGAGGAGGCTGGGTCAGTCCTAGGTCCCTGGGGCTTCCATGAGAGCTGGGGAGCTCCAGGGGCCCTGCCTGAGGAGGGAGGGCAGAGAAGGAGGCCCCAGTGCTCCCAGGTCAGGCAGAGTTTGGTCTGGAGTAGGTCCCTAGGGCGGTCTCCGGGGGTCTGTCCACCTGGCCTCCAGGTTCCCTGTCCCCAGCTCCCACTCCTCAGCCTAGCCCCTTCTGCTCCGCTCTGGGCAGCGCTGGGGCCCGCACAGCTCAGGACGGTGTCTACAGCATCACGGGAGGAGAGCACAGTGCCTGCTTCCCCTAGTGCCCGGCTCTCACCAAGCACGGCTGAGGCCGATCAAGAAGACACCTGTGTGATCTCAGAGGCAACAGTGTGCTGGGAAACACAGGCGAGGGCTGTGCCTATGTGGCTATTTTGGTATTCCTGGCCTTCGTTTGGTCGAGAGCATCATAGGTTTCAGGGTGTTTTGACTGGACGTCCAGTGAGTATTAATCTTTCCACCAAGCCCAGCCCCTTGACTGGCGACTGTCCCACTGGCCCCATATCAGCTCCTTGCTTTGTCAGAGGACTCGATGAAGCACTGGAGAAAAACAGCCTGGCTGGGCCTGGTGGCTCATGCCTGTAATCCAATCCCAGCACTTTCGGAGGCTGAGGCGGGTGGATCACTTGAGGTCAGGAGTTTGAGACCAGCCTGGCCAACGTGGTGAAACCCCGTCTCTACTAAAAATACAAAAATTAGCCAGGTATGGTGGCGGGCGCCTGTGGTCCCAGCTACTCGGGAGGCTGAGGCAGGAGAATCGCTTGAATCTAGGAAGCAAACGTCGCAGTGAGCCAAGATCGCACCACTGCACTCCAGCCTGAGTGACAGAATGCAACCCTGTCTCAAAAAAAACAAAGTGAACAAACAAACAAATAAAAAAAAGAAGAAAGAAAAAATCAGCCCACAGGCACCGAGGTGGACAGGAAGCCAGTTGTCAGCTCCCCAGGGTTCCCAGACATGGACGTAGCTGCTACCTCTCACCCACACTGAGCTCCCACGCTGTGAGACCCACCCAGGTACTGGCACATCAAGCTCTGGATGCGGGTGGTGGTATCCGTTAGGCAGAGAAACAGGAAATTGTCGTAGTCAGTATCAAGCAGCATAGCCTCGTTCGCCCCCATATCTGGGGAAAGAAGAGAAGAACCAAAAGGAAGATGAAGCCTCCATCTCAGCCGAGTCTTGGGCAGATGTGTGGACGTCCCACCACACTAAGTGGCTTCCTCGTCCACTGACACCATGGCATGTGGCTCTTGGGGTGGGCCATGGCCAGGGAATCCAGGGAGAAAAGGAGAGAAGAGGCAACATGGAGGACCATGGAACCCTGGCTGAAGGGGAGAGGCAGACACCGGAGGCAGGCAGGCTCTGACCTGGAGAGATTCCAGCTGAGAAGTCACGTACGGGTGAGGACAGCGGGAGGCGGCACGGGAACAGGGCAGAGGGGTGGGAAGAGGGAGAAGAAATGGACCTTGGAGAGTGGCTCGATTCTGGGGAGGGCAAGCAGGGTCAGAAGGGCCTGAGGCAAGTCCCAAGCATAAGAAGCAAACTGTATTTGCTGGGAAAATGTGCCCACGAGGGGATAAGAGAGCCCAGACCCTGACCACTTCTGTATTTTTAAAAAAATAATAATTAACAAAATAGAAGAAAATGTCGCAAATGGTTAGGGAGAATTCAGTGGAGCCAGGACGTGCTGTAGCCCCTCTTCCCGCAATGAGGCTGGGAGCACGGCCCAGGCCAGATCTGCAGCCCCACCATCAGCAGAAGGCAGCCAGGCCCATGGGAACAGCAGCCCACCTGGCCACCTGCCCACCTGGCCACCTGCCCACGTGTTCACCTGCCCACCTGCCCACCTGTTCACTTGTTCACCTGTTCACCTGGCCACCTGCCCACCTGGCCACCTGCCCACCTGTTCACCTACCCACCTGCCCACCTGTTCACCTGGCCACCTGTTCACCTACCCACCTGCCCACCTGTACACCTACCCACCTACCCACCTGCCCACCTGCCCACCTGTTCACCTAGCCACCTGCCTACCTGTATACCTACCCACCTACCCACCTGTTCACCTACCCACCTGTCCCACCTGTTCACCTGGCCACCTGTTCACCTACCCACCTGCCCACCTGTACACCTGCTCACCTACCCACCTGCCCACCTGCCCACCTGTTCACCTAGCCACCTGCCTACCTGTATACCTACCCACCTACCCACCTGTTCACCTACTCACCTGTTCACCTACCCACCTGTTCACCTACCCACCTGCCCACCTGTTCACCTAATCACCTGTTCACCTACCCACCTACCCACCTGTTCATCTGGCCACCTGTTTACCTACCCACCTGTTCACCTAACCATCTGCTCACCTACCCACCTACTCACCTACACACCTGCCCACCTGTATGCTTACCCACCTACCCGCCTGCCCACCTACCCACCTACCCACCTGCCCACTACCCACCTGTTCACCTACCCACCTGCCCACCTGCCCACCTACCCACCTGCCCGCCTACCCACCTGTTCACCTACCCACCTGTTCACCTACCCACCTGTCCACCTGCCCACCTGCCTACCTTCCCGCCTACCCACCTGCCCACCTGCCCACCTGCACACCTGCCTGCCTACCCACCTGCCCACCTGCCTACCTGCCCATCTGCCCACCTGCTTACCTGCCCACCTTCTCACCTGCCCGCCTACCCACCTGCCTACCTGCCCACCTTCTCACCTGCCCACCTGCCCACTTGCCTACCTGCCCACCTTCTCACCTGCCCAGCTGCCTACCTGCCCACCTGCCCACCTGCCCACCTTCTCACCTGCCCGCCTACCCACCTGCCCACCTGTCCACCTTCTCACTTGCCCACCTGCTCACCTTCTCACCTGCCCACCTTCTCACCTGCCCACATTCTCACCTGCCCAGCTGCCCACCTGCCCACTTGCCTACCTGCCCACCTTCTCACCTGCCCAGCTGCCTACCTGCCCACCTGCCCACCTTCTCACATGCCAGCCTACCCACCTGCCCACCTTCTCACCTGCCCACCTACCCACCTGCCCGCCTGCCCACCTGTCCACCTTCTCACCTGCCCACCTGCCCACCTTCTCACCTGCCCACCTTCTCACTTGCCTGCCTACCCACCTGCCCACCTGCCTACCTTCTCACCTGCCCACCTACCCACCTGCCTGCCTGCCTACCTGTCCACCTTCTCACCTGCCCACCTTCTCACCTGTCCACCTTCTTACCTGCCCACCTGCCCACCTTCTCACATGCCTGCCTACCCACCTGCCCGCCTGCCCACCTGCCCGCCTACCCACCTGCCCACCTGCCTACCTGCCCACCTTCTCACCTGCCCATCTGCCCACCTTCTCACCTGCCCACCTACCCACCTGCCCACCTGCCCACCTTCTCACCTGCCCAGCTGTCTACCTGCCCACCTTCTCACATGCCTGCCTACCCACCTGCCCGCCTGCCCACCTGCCCGCCTACCCACCTGCCCACCTTCTCACCTGCCCACCTGCCCACCTTCTCACCTGCCCACCTACCCACCTGCCCACCTGCCCACCTTCTCACCTGCCCAC